GCCTAGGGAGGTTGTGAAATCTCCATCTCTGGAGATATTTAAGAGTAGGTTAGATAAATGTCTATCAGGGATGGTCTAGACAGTATTTGGTCCTGCCATGCGGGCAGGGGACTGGACTCGATGACCTCTCGAGGTCCCTTCCAGTCCTAGAATCTATGAATCAGCACAATGGGACCAGCTAGCTCTCCTCACACCAGGCAAGAACTCTGCAGACCACAATTTGAGAAACACTATAGTAAACTCTATTCTATCTGGACAGATAAAGGGAACTTTAAATCAAGACTTCTCAGACCAGAGCTGGCAAAGTAGCAAAGATAGGTTGAGTGGAAAAGTCCCTGTCCAGATGCAGCACCTATGGCTAGGTCTACACTACGGGGTGGGGGTCGACCTAAAATATGCAACTTCAGCTAAGCTATTTGCGTAGCTGAAGTTGCGTATTTTAGGTCGACTTACCTGGCTGTGAGGACAGCGGCGAGTCAATCGCTGCCACTCCCCCGTCGACTCCGCTTCCGCCTCTCGCTGTGGTGGAGTTCCGGAGTCGACGGCAGAGCGATCGGGGATCAATTTTATCGTGTCTACACTAGACGCGATAAATCGATCCCCAATAGATCGATCGCTACCCGCCGATCCGGCGGGTAGTGAAGACATGCCCTGTGTCTGTTAGAGCCCCACTTCTCTCTGCACCCACCCATCTCAGAAATGTCAACAAAAATTTGGTCTCATGAATAACCACCTAAACAATACTTCTGTACCCTGATCCTAGCTGTGCAGTTACACCCATACTACAGAGGTTACATTTTATGTAATATAGCATATTATGTATGAAATTGGGCAGCTGCTCCGGAGAGGATGCTCACTTCAACTAATATGTCCAGTCCATCAAAGATGGGTAGTTCTCCCCCTGCTTAAGTCCTCTTTTTGTTGCAATAAGTAGGACATAATTAAGATTTGCCAGTTCTTCCAGGTGTTTAGCCATATGAAGCTTCAACGATCTAATGCCATATTTAGAGTATCTGAAGTTGAAATTAAAAAGAGTCTGCACTTCAATGTCCTCACCTATGCCTGGGGAGTTCTCTCCTTATGCAAGAATCAACAGGTAAAGTATGCCAGTCAGTGCATTTGACTAACAGACTGAGTAAGGTATCAGGGGGTAGCCATGTTAGTCTGTATCCACAAAAACAACAAAGAGTCCAGTGGAACCTTAAAGACTACTGAGTAATGTAGCTGCAGGATTAGTTAAAAAGCAGATAGTCACCTAAGAACTATACAGTCTAACTTTCCATGGCCCCTCCATAATATCCTGTAGTTTCGGCATGTGCATTGATGCTTTGAGCAAATAGCCTGGTTAAAGAAAATCATAGAGGATCTATCTTGGTACTTTTACATAGTTTCAATAGAAAATGAATCTTTCCATTACTTGCAACTTGAGTAGAGGGTGAATAAATCAGAATATCCCTTCCCCCCCCACCCCCCCATAACTAGAGGCACCAAAG